ACTGCCAAAACAGTTTTATAGCTTGTTGCTTACTTATGGGTCAGGTGAAGAAGGGTATAAAACACACAAGTCTCACAAGGGCAATTCTTAACAAAAGGACAGCGTAACAAGTCGTTTAACAAGAGTCTTACCATCAACGTTTTGTTTTGCCCATGCTGTTTTTCCATTTAAGAAGTAAAACAAATACAGTATGTCTGAACATGTGTATTGGGCTCCACTTGGATGATGAGTTGTAGTTCATTGAATACAATTCCCCGGGTGTGTGGTGACTTGAGGAGACTGATTTTTGTTTTGATGCTTGGTTTTGACAGTGGGGTGGCAGTAAATTGCTAAACTGTCGTTGTGTCCTTAGGCAAGACACTACATCCACATTAGAATGAGTCTGGTGTGTGTGTGAATAGTTTGTAGTGGTGGGAGGGGCCAATGGCAGATACTGTGTTTCTTGCTTTTGTCAGTGTGCCCCAGGGCAGCTGTGGCTACAGTAGTTCATCAACACCGTGTATGGGGTGAATGAATAATGACATGTGAAGCGTCTTTGAGTGTCTAAAAAGGGCTTTATAGTAAGTAAGTAAGTAAGTAAGTAAGCTTTTATTTATATACCGCCTTTCACAGACCAGAGTCACAAAGCGGTTTACAATTGTTATTTTTTGGGCACTTGTCCTCTCACTCCACACAGAGATGGGAGCGGGGTCGCCGAACAGGAGGCGCATGCCAGAACTATTGTACATATTTTTAGTGGTAGGGGAAACCGGAGTACCCGGAGGAAACCTACGCAGACACAGGGAGAACATGCAAACTCCACTCAGAAAGGCCCTGGTCCGGCCGGGATTCGAACCCAGGACCTTCTTGCTGAGAGGCGAGAGTGCTATCCACTCAGCCACTGTGCCGCCCATAAAACCAACGCATTATTATCAATATTATTATTATTGTTATTATTATTATTATCATTATTTGGACATGCTCCTGTCTTCCCTGTTGTGAAAAAAGACATGCGAGTCACATTTTAAAATCCACACACAGAAACATTCCAGGTGAAGTAATGCATGCAGTACTAATTTGGCTGTAGTGCTGAACAAAATGTTAAAATATTGAAATTGACAGATTTCTAATTTATCCATAGCTTGTGCACGTATTAAACAAATCTCTGAATCGAAATAAATCCATGCGTTTCAGAATGAAAAAAAATTAAGACTGTTGTTAATGAGATTAACAGTTTATTAAAACAAAATAAAATATATATTAAAATATATAATAAGAGATGAAATATAAAAAACAAAAGGCCCAATGTCTTAATTTGAAGCCGGTGAGAAGGGCCGCCATGATAATAGCGATAAAGCAGCAGTAAGAGGCCATTGGAATGACTTATGTTTCACAGCGCTGAATAAAAGAGATGGCACTTTAATGTGTGGAGCAGTAAAAAGAGATGAGGCCAGACCAGGAGGGATACTCATAATAACATACAGCATGGCTCTATCTGCAGCAGCGCTCAGACAGGCGTGTGGTTTACCTCTTTGCCTTTGTCAAAAATACTCGAGAGTTATCTGCTCGATGACTGCAGTTATGTCAAATGATGTTCATAAGTCAAGTTCACTCCAAATAAGGCTGTGTTACAATGTATCATATAATGGAGATCAAGAGTTGGTTCATTTCCATCAATATTCTCCCTACTTGAGATTCTGTTTACAATTCTAACCACACCTTTTCTCCATTTTACTCTTTTGAAGAATCATTTGCTGGTTTACGACCTCTAAAACATATGAGATTAGAGAAAAAAAAAGAACAAGTGCCGCCCGAGAACGGGCGGCACGGTGGCTGAGTGGATAGCACTCTCGCCTCTCAGCAAGAAGGTCCTGGGTTCGAATCCCGGCCGGACCAGGGCCTTTCTGAGTGGAGTTTGCATGTTCTCCCTGTGTCTGCGTAGGTTTCCTCCGGGTACTCCGGTTTCCCCTACCACTAAAAATATGTACAATAGGTTTGGCATGCGCCTCCTGTTCGGCGACCCCGCTCCCATCTCTGTGTGGAGTGAGAGACAAGTGCCCAAAAAATAACAATTGTAAACCGCTTTGTGACTCTGGTCTGTGAAAGGCAGTATATAAATAAAGCTTACTTACTTACTTACTTACTTACAAAAGCAAGTGGGCAGTGGCGACAGGGAGCAGGATGTTTGGACCTGAACACAAGACATAAAACGGTAAGCAAAAAAATACAAAAGGAAAGCTGACTGATTACACTAACTACACTAAAATCTGTAAGAGAATAGGTTCTGAACTAGCCTGGCCTTAGCCATCCGTATGCTCTGGTCAATCATCATTTCCCTGTAACGTCTGGGTCTGGTCCCTGCGATTACATCGGTTGACGGGCAGGTCGTAGTTTTGCAATGGCGAAGAATGCGATAGTAAAGTAATCTGGTCTGGTTCTATCAAGAAATTGAAGCCGGAGCAAGAGGAATGTTTAGCAAAAGTAATTGCTGGCAAAGATTGTGGCGCTACTCCCCACGGGCTCCGTTAGCGGCAAAGGAGATGGCTAGGCTAAATGCTAAATGCTAACGACAGACTAGGGCGCATGACAATGACATGCTTGCAATACCACCCCGGGCCGATGGGGGTGGACCCAGAAGAAGAATTAGACCTCTCAAAAACGTCTTTAGAGGATGGACCAAAAGTTGGCTCTTGGTCCAAAGCTCCGTTCCACATGTGTGTCAACGCTGAGGGGGGTGTTCTGGTCCACTCTAGTTTACTTGCTGTGAATCTTTGAAGTCTCTCGTTCAAATGAATGGAGCTGCGCCGACTGACGCATGCGCAGATGTGTTTTTTCACAATTTTCTTGTGGGCGGGACCACTCGCGGCCATTTTGGATAGCTCCAGTAGAGCACCATTTTTGGCCCATTAGTTAGAATGGCGGAATAGTTAGAATTACTGTGATAATATTGTGTTATCGTGGTAATAGGCCTGTCCTGGAGCTGGTGTTTGCCCTGTGCGATCCGGCCACTGCAGCTGTGTGTACGTGGGAGTGTGACGTGTGCTCTCACAATGTATGGTTGTAAGCAGCAGATGCTCATCTAGAATTTCTGCCAAGTTGCCATGGCAGCTCAAGAGTGGGTGGGCTGAGGTTGGTGGCATGGCATTATACAACTCAAGACAGTTAATTACAAAAGTGGCCTCGTGTCATTACCTGGTGTCAGTGTCAGAACGATAAGCACAAGAAAGTGAGGGGTCCGGATGTTTCTCATGGCAGAATCTTCTCGGACAGTTTTATGAAGCAGCTCATTGGTCGACAGCACTTGTACACACACAATTATGCAAACATGCGTTCTGTAAGTTTAGAGACAGGGTGCCCCGTGTTAATTGAATTTCAGATAGAAAGGCGTGTTTATTGGTAAGAATCCAATGTGCTTTAATGAGATAAAAAGCACAGACAGCAGCGTGGGTTTGAAACCATGACAACAGCCCTGGGCTTTGAGACATGTGGAGCGACTAGTGAAGTACAATGTCATTAGGTTCAGTTATGTTTAAAATATGGTTTAACATCAGCAATTCTAACATAGCTTTAACATCACATGTAGAGATCTAACAAGAAGGCAGTATTCTCGGCACACAGGGATCTTACGAACATGGTGCTTTTGTGGCAGCGCTGCCTACGCTCAGAGCATTGATCCGCTCACATCTGGCTCAGGTTATTGTTGTACGAACTCTCACAATATACACGAGGCAGTTGTGATTGTATTTGCTGATCTTTTTGGCGTTTCTCGTCCCTGGATCACAGTTCTGTTTGTTTATAATAAAAAAAGTAGTACACTAAAAGTTTATGACACATTCATAATTTTCAGTGTTCAATCACATAATTCAGTAATGGATCGAGTATCCCCAGTGTTGCTCCAAGGAAACTGGCACTGGTCTTTAACTTCTATTATTGTGTTTTTGTATTTTGTATTTTTATCCGTCTTTCTCAGTTTTAGCTGGTCTCACTTACACCCACTGTCCTCAGCAGTACTGTGACCAGGACAGTGTTTAACAAAGACCAGAAGCTTTTCCTCCTGAGAATCACCATTCTTTTATGATGAGCCTTGTGGGAAGCACAGATTGATGAACTTAGGGCATGAACTTCATCCCATGAGGCTTTAGTCCAGCAGGGCATTGCAACCGCCACATGACAGCATAGATCCACATGGTGTGAGGTCCGTCTGATCAGCAGAAAGGTCAACAATAAACTCCCCTACAGCTCCTGAATGGTCTTACTCCTGAGATAAAGTAATCATTTATAATACATTATATTTGCTTTGAAAATGTCTCCCATGTGTTGGTACCTGACTGAGAAATGGTACAAGACAGTGGCTAAGGGATTTTAAAACAGATTGTTTTTAAATTTTGTATCAAAAGACGTCTTCAATGATTTTGAAATATCAGCTGTGTTGAAAATAAGTTTGGCACTCTGGACTGCAGGTCAATGAGCTAAGAGAGATGTTTTTGCTGGATGTTGTAGAGTTTTATAATGATAAACTAAAAGATTAGTCAATACAAGGTTTTGTTGAAAGAAGTGCAATAGCATCATTATAGGATGCTTCTAAACCTCAGTCATTTTCCCAATGAAAGAAGACAATCGTTAAAGATACAACTCATATGTAAATGTACAGAGGATAACTTCAGACTGGGTCAAATGCATGGAATGTCTATACATGCAAATATTTGTTTTTGTCGTCATAGTCATTTTGATTCCCATTAGCTGACACCAAGGGGACACCTAGTCATCCTGAGGTCCGGTTTGAAATACTTCCAAAATTGATGATACAATAGGAAGAATAATAAAATCTTGCGCTGGACAAGATGGAGGAAAATGGTTGGATGGTATTTTCCTGTTGTGATTATAGTGCACCATATGGATCAAGGGATATTGACCTTTAGATTTGGATTATTTTGCTGATGATTTTTAATGTTCTGGAATGTTAAATGGCTGCTCATCAGAAAGAACGTACCCAAATGATTTCTGTTTTGACTATTCTGTAGTGACGGTTGGGCGGATCGCTACGACGTGACCGACGGCTACGTGCGAGAGGCAGCGGGCGGCGTGACCATCAAACTACAGTCGGCTGATGTGAAGTGGTTCGATGATTACTACCTGAAACTGCGACCGGAGAACAACCAGAGGAACCCGTGGTTTCCAGAGTTCTGGCAGCACCGCTTCCACTGCAAGCTCAAAGGCCACGCCCAGGAGAACACCAAGTTCAACCGCTCCTGCAGCAGTGAGTCTTTAGGCGCAACCTTCTCAGCGCTTTCAAAATGCACCTGTGTCATGTGACGTGCAGAGACAATATCCTTCAATTACATTCACTGACTATCTCAATATATAAATATACTACTAAATATATAAATAACCCCATTTCTAAATCAGTATAATTATGTTTCTAATGTAACTTTGATGGACATTATTTGATGAGCTCTGTCCGAATAGATTGCGTGATTGTTGTAGAGTTGGAGGGAAGGTGCCAGTACAACTCAACAAGAAATATTTGTGGAGATTTTGTGAGAAAAAAAATATGAAAAATAAAATGTCCAAATGTTTTCTCAGATTGATAGCGATTAGAATCATAATTCTCTTTATTATTCTTATGTCTGAGAGTCCTTTCCAGTGGCCGACATCAAACATGTGTTTGATATTGTCACCACTTCATGAGAAACTACTTTGTGACAGTTTATGATTCATGTGGATTGTCCCAGGGATTAGAGCAGACACGCCCAAAGGCCTGTGGTCTTTGAGATCATAAACACAAGTTCACAGTGTCATCCAGCCAACTTCAGCTCTAGCAACATTTGAATATACCTTGTTGGAAAGCTTTATAATCCAGCCGTGGACATTATTTGTATATCCTGAGATTTGTTTTTGATAGTGTCGCCAAGTTTTGTGAGATTGCAAACATTGGTCATTCAGCCAACTTGAGCTTCATCTAACGTGAATCAGTATGGACACGATGTCACAGCTCATTTTAAAAACTCAGAAGCCTGAATCCAGTTAAAATGGTGTTACTGTCTGGGTCGTCAGCCCCTGAACCAGTCTGGTTAATCTTACTAAAAAGATTTTTCAGCTGAAATCCAACTTGATTTTAAACGGTGGGTTCTTTGGAATGTTGTGATGTCACATGCTACATCTCTATCCTTGAAGACACAAGAGCAACTACACTCATGGATAAATGGGGGAAAAGCCTGGATAATTAACTGGATCATTAACTGGATAATTATAATGTATTAAACTTGAATTATAGTAAGTTTATTGCTACATTTCACATGTTTTTTTGCTGAAAAACTAGTTTCCCAATATTTGTGTGCTCCTGTTTATGTCTATTCTAATCTATTCTTCAGTCTCGTTCAGGGCCTGTATCAAAAGAATCTGTGTCTAATGCATTCTAATGAAAAACTACATGGCATTCAAATGAAAGAGTGCAAACAGAGGCTACAGGAAATGACAAATGTAGGTGGTAAATTGTGGATGAAGAGAATGAAGAGGCTCGAGAGCGGGCTTTGATGTGACAACAATGAAGTAGTTTCAGAACACTATGGGGGCGATATACAGACCACGTTTCCTCTTTCTCATTAGCCCGTTAACTCACTTTCTCTTTTACCCCCAGAACGAGAATCCCTTCGTCAGCAGTATGCTCAAGACACTAAAATGGGCTTCGTCATCAACGCCATCTACTCCATGGCGTACGGGCTACACAACATGCAGCGGTCCCTGTGCCCCGGGTATCAGGTGGGGATGCTGAAAAATGTCCGGTGGAGAATGGCAAATGTTGGATCTGTTGAGCTTTTCTTAAATGTTGCTTTATTATTTTTTCTTGAATTGCATTTATTAATTTCAAACAAAAAAAACACACACGCACACACACACTTACTGTTTTTTATTGTCATATTTGTGCGTGTGTGTGTTTTTTCCTGAATCTACCATTTTGTTTGTTTACGTTATGCAATTGTTGTTATATATTATTGTTGATGTACTTGCCGGATTCCAGGAACACAATTACAAAATACAACACAAAAAGAGGATGTCATTACTATTGTCTATTATCTTGGTCCTCATGTTGATGGACAGCCCTTGGAACCATGGAGCAGAGGTGGGACTAAGTCATTGTTTAGCAAGTCACAAGTCAGTCTCAATTCATTGCCCTCAAGTCCCGAGTCAAGTCACGAGTCAAGACAGGCAAGTCCCGAGTCGAGTCCAAGTCAAAGGCCAACAAATCTCAAGTCAGTCCCAAGTCCTACGGTTTGACTTTCGAGTCCTCTCGAGTCTTTTTGACCGCGATTTGTTTCTTGTTGGTCTCCACGTACTTTTGTAGGCAAACAAAATAATGTTAGGAATCATTTTGTTGGTGCATTCTCGTTGGTCTCTGACCCATGGACTAACAGTTTGTTCCATGTGGTTGGCTGCTGGTAAATCAAAACTATGTTGTGCCAGATGCAGGCTCAGTTACACATGCACAGACCACACATAAAATCAGAGCAGTCCGTGTCAACATACTTTTTATCTTTGGGGTTTTTAATGGGAAGTAGCAAGTGCAGCATATATGAATATGAGTATTGGGCTAGGACCTGTATCTATATAATCAGTTTAATGTCCGTAGTGGTTATTGTTCCAAAGGACTGAAGGGACCAATGGAGGGGAAGGAACCTGGCCTGTATGAACTGGGCCAGCATTAGTAATATCTCATAATTACCAATATATCATTACATAATAAAATGTCTCATATAAATTAATTCAATCAGTCAAAGTACTGATTCTCATATCAATGCACCATAAACAATAGTGAAAATATTAATCTAGCTTAGTGCACATAATCAAAACAACTATCTAATGTATGCAAACTTTAGCAGGAGGAGCACAGCAAAAACATGCTCATAATAATAGGCCTCGGCGCCCACACAGAAAAATATAAGAAAGAGCCAACAGAGCAGCGCAGGCTAGCGCTAGTTTGACTCGCCAGTTCCTCTTTAAAACACGGCACACAGTGTGACAACTGCGTCGATTCAATTGTATGAGGCGCCTGTAGTGAAAGCATATCAATTACGGTTTGTAGAACAAAATATGACGTTAGGTCGCGATAAATACCTGCAGCTCGCTCATTTCCAGCTCCCCTAGACAACACACACCGGTGAATGCAGTGCGCTTGTTTAGGGAAGTGTTGCTGCGCGAACTGCCTGGAACTCACGTTCGAACTCTCGCGCGAGCGCTACAACTACCGCGAGGCTTTGTTTCTTCAGAGACGGCATAGATAGAAAGAGAGATGCGGAGAAAGGTAAAAATGGCCCGGGTTACGCAAGTCTTTGCAAGTCAATTGGCGCAAGTCCAAGTGAAAGTCAGAGTCATTGATGTTAAAGTCCAAGTCGAGTTGCAAGTCTTTTTACATTTGGTCAAGTCGAGTCTAAAGTCATCAAAATCATGACTCGAGTCTGACTCGAGTCCAAGTCACATGACTCGAGTCCACACCTCTGCCATGGAGAGCTCCAAGTCGGCAACATCCACAAATGTCATGGCCCATTACAGACAAGACAGTGAGGGGGGCTTCTATGTAGTAGCCATTTCATTAGCTGTTATGACCCTTGACAAGAGAACCCTCTGTTTCGCACTGTTCAGTCCAAGGCAAGTGAGGTCATTTAAAAGGAAGAACCAGCGGAGAGCAGGGCACCTTTGTAATGTGTGTCACTTGCCCTGATGAAGACCAGAGAGTGGCCCAAACGCATCGCTGTGTCCCTAATAAAGTTAGAGTGCCTTGGACCTTTTCCTCTTTGCTTTTTACATTATTTTCCCACGAATCCTCGAAGAACCTGACTTCTCACATCTACCCTGTATTATATTTTTTGATCCCCATATGCACTCACTGTTCTTGAGTTTTTCTTTTGTAATGTGTGTTTCCATTGCAGGGGTTGTGTGATGCCATGAGGCCCATAGACGGTGCTACACTTTTGGACTTTCTCATGAAGACAAACTTCACAGGGGTTTCTGGAGAGGGTATTTTATTTGATGAGAATGGAGATTCTCCTGGGAGGTATGTACATGAATTAGACAAAAGCATGTGAAAATGAAATTAAAGCATAATGATAAAGCATTTCAATTCAACTTGTAGTTTATATTACAATATTACAGACTCTTTTTCTAAACAGACAGACATAAAAGACTATTAAACAAACAAAGAAACAAACAGTTATGACTTTTCAAAGACAGCCATAACAGTGTCTCCACGTCTTAGACTGATATCGGGTGGCACTGAACCTGATGTTTGTCAGCTTCAATAGTATTTAATTTTCTAACTTGTTCAGTCGACAGATAAAATTGTACATTATGGTCCTTAACACAAACGCACTGATCCATCGTGGCTTTCTAAAAAGCACTCGAAAAGCTTCATTACAGGCCTCCTGCAGCGTGCAGACAGCCTCTTTTATAGTTAGTCCACAGGTGGGCCATGTACAGCGACGTACAGTACGACTTAAACAGTTGCAGCTCGACACCGATTCAACAAAAGCCAAACTTGAGTGTGTTTCCCTGAATTCTGCATTCTCTGTCAATGTCACTGTCATCTGTCATTTTATCACTGCAGAAATAACAAAGATATACAGTATTTGTTGTGACATTTAACACAACAAAAGGCAAAAGTCAGGAGTTCATAAGCCTCTCCTCTTTGGTCCAACACATCACAGTCACAGCTGCATTAAACAGTATCTACCTTTTTCCCCAAATAGTGATTTTACTAGAATATACGTATGTCGTGTTTGTTTGTCACAGGTATGAAATAATGAACTTTAAGAAGATGGGAAAGGACTACTATGATTATATCACCGTCGGCAGCTGGGACAATAGTGGGCTGAAGATTGATGATGATGAAATTTGGCCTAACAAAGAAGCTATCATCAAATCTGTCTGCAGTGAACCCTGTGACAAAGGACAGATTAAAGTAGGCCACATTTGAGTTAGTTAGACATGTGAATGAGACGACTTCATACTATGGTGTCTCTTTAGGTGATCCGGAAAGGCGAGGTGAGCTGCTGCTGGACTTGCACCCCATGTAAAGAGAATGAGTTTGTGTTTGATGAGTACACCTGTCGAGCCTGTGAGCTGGGCTCCTGGCCCACGGATGACCTCACAGGTAACTTTGCTGATTTATCTTCTGTTGAGCTAACTTCATATAACATTCAGACACAAGAACATCCAAATCTCGCCCAGTTGTCATGTAAATATTCTAATTCTATCTGTGACATAATTGGTTGTATAAATTTCCCAGGTGTGATCTCGGCCATATTGGTTAAAGATGGGTACTTTAAAATTAGATCATATCACAGTGCCCTTTCAAAATATTTTTTTGTAAAAATACATAAAGGGAAAGATCCCTGTAGTCACTATTTGATCCTCTGGGCTGAAAGCTGATAGGGTCCTCTCTTGTTTGAAAAAGCTGATCTTAAGATGCGGCCAAAAAACACACGCATGTACAAACTGTGAAGAACATTTACAAAATGATATTTTATTTCTTATTATAAATATATTTGTGGTTTGAAAGTTAGTTTTCCCAGTTTTAAATTGTATTTAGTTGTATTATTGTATTTATAGCATCTATTTAGGCAGTAGATGCCAGACTGATAGAGAGGTGTACAAGGTTATGTTTCACCTGCATCCCAGCCGGCTCCTTTTCTTTCCTCTGTCTGTAAGTTGTTTCTGCCGTAGTAACTAGTGTTTTAATTATTCTGCATCAAGAGACGGCACCAATGAAATTAATTTCTGTTATGAAAATGTGTTTGTTCTCGATTGCATTTGAAGTGCTCGGATATTGCCTTGTTATGCTTTCAGCCGCTCATTATACTGTGCATTCAGTCCTGACCAAGCACTATGATTAAAACATGAATCTAGTGGTGGTGGAAAATTCAAATGAAGCTCCAGTGTCAAATACAGAAGCACTCTGAAACAAAAACTGTACAGGAAATATTATCCAGGGGATAGATGTGTAATAGTAATGAATTTAGTTAGAAGTCCATATTGTGTTTGTGCGTGTGAAAAAAGGTCGTATTATTTGCCCTCTGAGGTTTTAATGAGGCGTAAACAACTTCCTCTGCATATTTCTGCTGCAGACATTTGGATTTTTGTCCCCTCGGTCTCAAAGACAGGACGAGCGTATTTAGGAGCAAAACAATACAAACCTCGAGGAATAGGGGGAACAAAACACCTGTCGCTGGCAGCGATGAAAGCAAAGTGCATACGGACTGGAAAACAATGGAACACACAGCAGAAAATGGGAAGTCAACAATGAAGAATAAGTGCTCGGAGATAGGGCTCTGGAAACAATAAGTGGCAGATGGAGTATACATTTGAAGGGCACAAATTAGCGGACAAATGATAGTATATCAAAAATAGTGTGTTTTAATGTCTGATGAATTAGTTCCTTTATGGAAATTAATATAGGCTTATGATAGATTTAAAATTGAAAATATGATGCATTTGGCGGCTTCTTTTGATATCTCAGGCAGACTAAATGCAACATTTCAAGATTGGAATCAATTAAAATGGTCCTAAATGACCTATTATCTCAAACCAAGACTTTGGGGGCGACAGAGATTGAATCTGGACCAAATGTGAATTGTGTATATTGTAGAAGCAAAGACAGAAACATTTAGCCTGTGCTGGCAAATATGAAGTGTGACATGAGTGTGTTATTCTTCAGGCTGTGACCCCATCCCAGTGGAGTACCTCCGGTGGGGAGACCCCGAGCCCATTGCTGCTGTGGTTTTTGCCTGCCTTGGACTCATGTTTACATTTTTTGTCACTGCTGTTTTTATAAGGTGACTGTCACTTTTTAAAAACACCGAAACAACGACCAGAACCATCTTAACCTTGAATGTTTGTGTGCTCAGATTCCGGGACACTCCAGTGGTGAAGTCTTCGAGTCGGGAGTTGTGTTACATTATACTTGTGGGCATTTGTTGTGGTTATCTCTGTACGTTTTGCCTCATAGCCAAACCTCATGTCGTTCACTGCTACCTCCAACGCCTTGGTATAGGACTGTCGCCTGCAATGAGCTACTCCGCACTCGTTACAAAGGCAAGTTATCTGAGCAAATCTCTTTTAAGGTGGTTTTATGGTGGTTTTATTTACCATAGTTGTTTCTACATATATTCCCTTTTAGACAAACCGCATTGCACGGATCCTAGCAGGGAGCAAGAAAAAGATTTGTACAAAAAAGCCACGCTTTATGTCTGCCTGTGCTCAGCTCATCATTGCCTTCCTACTCATTCTTTTACAATTGGGTATCATTGTTGCTCTGTTCCTAATGGAGCCCCCACAGGTACTTTATGTACATTCAATGCATCATCTGTATTCATGCATTTGTATAACCCTGTGTATTGTTTTTCTATACAGGTAATTCATGATCATCCCAGCATTCGACAAGTAAATCTGATCTGCAACACCACAAATTTGGGAGTAGTTGCTCCCCTGGGATACAATGGTCTGCTCATCCTTAGTTGTACATTCTATGCCTTTAAGGTGAATTCACATGTTTTGATTAATCTATCATTTTTTTCTTGGTTTTATATTGTCCTGGATTGTTTTGTTTATCTATCCTCACAATGTATTTCCTATTTATTAATGACACTGTCTTGGTGTGATATTTTTTTTCTTTCAGACTCGCAATGTTCCGGCTAATTTTAATGAGGCTAAATACATTGCCTTCACCATGTATACAACCTGCATTATATGGCTGGCTTTTGTACCAATCTACTTTGGCTCAAACTATAAAATTATCACAATGTGCTTCAGTGTTAGCCTCAGTGCCACTGTGGCCTTGTGCTGCATGTTTGTTCCCAAGGTGAGCACCACGGTTTTATATGTAAATACTGTACAAACAAAAAATATATAATAAAATGCACTTACAGTATATTTATTCTTGTACTAGGTGTACATCATTCTGGCTAAACCAGAGCGAAATGTGCGCAGTGCCTTCACCACAAGCACGGTGGTTCGCATGCACGTTGGGGATGGCAAGTCGTCCTCCGCAGCCAGCCGCTCTTCCAGTTTGGTGAATCTATGGAAGAGGAGAGGCTCCACCGGAGAGACACTCAGGTTTGTTTGTGCGTGTGTGTGTTTGTGCGTGTGTGTGTTTGTGCCTGTGTGTGTTTGTGCGCGTGTGTGTTTGTGCCTGTGTGTGTGTGTGCGTGTGTGTGTTTGTGCCTGTGTGTGTGTGTGCGTGTGTGTGTTTGTGCCTGTGTGTGTGTGTGCGTGTGTGGTGGTCTCTGTAAGGTTTATACCAGGTTACTCCTCAGTTACAGACTAAGGCACCATTTCTGCAATGGCCCCTCTCAGAGACTATTTATGGTCCTTGTGAGTGTGTGTTGGAACATTCTCTGAGATTGATTTTCTCAACTCCCAGGGTCTGCCCAACTGGTCTTGTAATCCCAATGTGAACTGAGACAATTGCTTAAGGAAGACCTAGATAAAAGATAGAATCACAATCAAAGCAAACAATTATAATCTATATTATTATGATATAGATTATAATATCATTATTAATATTACGTTTGATTATATCTATATCTATATTATAATCTACAGAAACGTATTCAAACATTGGCATGAACACGTGTGCCTGAAAATGTCCTTTTGGCGTTTTCTATTGCTTAAATCTCGGTTTGGCATGGAATCAATATTCATTTGACATATGTGGAAATATTTTGCCTCAATGTTTGTATTAACTCAACACAACTCAACTCTTTTAAGTCCATAATTTTGTTCAAAAACCTGATGTCACGTGGGTGAAAAACAAATGAGGCCCAAAAGGCAAAAACTGCAAAATGATGGATTTAAAGAGCGACTAAACACCAAATCAACTTTTTTTAACTCATAAACTGCATAAGTATGTTTATTGTAGTGCTGTCTACATATCCTGGTCAATTATTTGACATTTTAGTTCAAATTAGATAAAATATCACTTTTGAGCCAAAAAACCAAGCCCCGGCGATCCAAGATGGCGCCCTATTCAAATGGTCAAGGTCAAGGTCAAGGTCAAGTTTATTTATATAGCACATTTTAAAAACAGACAGGACTGTCACAAAGTGCTTACCAGACATTGTAAAAATACAAGACACAAATAACATTCAGCATAAAATAAAATGCAGGACACCATCATAAATGAATGGTTGTGCTCAGTGGCGCTTTGTGACGGCATGGGGGCTGAAAGATTAGCGGAAGTCGCCTGAAACTCGCAAAGATCTTTGGGAAACTCGCCTGTATTTGGGCATCGTCTGGTCCTCCCGGTTCTGCGCAGTGGATGATCTCCCATAATGCGTTGCGCCAAACACGCGTGTGTGGGTCTCACACCGGGTCTCACGCACGTGCACAGAGGGGCTCGGCCGCGCTCTGACCAATCAGAGCAGTTCATCAGAGCGGGAGTTAGAGCGAGAGCCAGACGAGCAGAGTTTGTGGCACTAAAGTGTGGATTTAAACAAAACCGAAGGATTTAAGAAGAAAAAAAGTTCAGGATGACAAGGGACACTAAAATCCCCACAAAATCCGATCTTTATTAAAGCTGTAGGTTCTCTGTCAGCTGAGGTTGAGCTGTTTTAATATGCATTGAGTTCTATGGGGAAAATTTCTGGGTAGCCCACGTGAATTTAGTCTGGTTCAGTCTGCAGTACCGCGAGAATCCCCTGAGCACATGGGTTATTCAGCTACAAGCTAGTAATACCCTATCCAGTTAATATAATACATCCATGCAAAAAACGTCTGTGTGGCGCCCTCTCAACCTTTTTGGTGGTACTACATTTGAATTTGGTTCTGGCCTCTCCATTGACTCTGAAGTTCTCTATGACATCAGTTGTTTTGTGTGACGTCAGTCTGTCAGAGCCAGTGATATGAACCCATTCAACTCTCACACACGTCCCAGCTGCAGTTTGGAGTATTCTGGCGCCATCTAGTGGATTAAAATTAAATTACATGAGTCATTCTGAGATTGAGTTCAGGTGTGTAGCCTTACAATTATCTTAGTGTGTAAACAAGGGTGGAATGAGACTTTCTGGTCTGTAAACTATTGCTTTAAGCAGCAATGACAACTGTTTTTTCTTTGTGTGACAAGTGAGCTGTCAATCACAGCCCAGACCACGCCCAACTCTAAGCCCCCCTTCTTGTCCCTTGGTCCTCCAGGCAACGCCCTTTTTAGAGAAAATTTTCAAATCTTCATGTGGGCGGAGTAAGGCTGGGCACAGGTGTTTAGTCGCTCTTTAATGAAAGTAATACAAATCAAGACCTACCAAAAACACAGGGAACGGACAGAACTAAAACAGACTAGGAATGACAATGACGGAACAGGGAGTGAAGGAACACACAGGGCTAAATACAAGACTAACGAGACACAGGTGAGACAGATGAGGGCAGGGCAGGTAATCAGACAACAGGAAGTACAACCAAAGAAGACACAGGAATAACACATTTCAAAATAAAACAGGAAATAAACTTAAACCATGACAGTACCCTCTCCTCAAGGGACGGATCCCAGACGTCTCAAAAACAAAACCAGGGAGGGAGGAGGGGGACCGTAGGAAGGACCGGGGGGGTGTAACCGGCACGTGAAGCCGGGGCCGGGACGTGAATCCGGGGCCGGGACGTGAATCCGGGGCCGGGACGTGAATCCGGGGCCGGGACGTGAATCCGGGGCCGGGACGTGGAGCCGGGGCCGGGGCGTGGAGCCGGGGCGTGGAGCCGGGGCGTGGAGCCGAAGAGCTGGAGCGGAAGAGCTGGAGCAGGAACTGGAGCCAGGACTGGAGCCAAACGGGTACAGAAGGCCCCCTGGATGGAGAACAATATCCAGCGGAGCCAGGTCAGGAACGGAAGCCTGCAACCACCCAGGACGGAGCTAAGTGTCCTGCAGTGGTCCAGGACACAGACAGACAGACAGGGAATGCGTCCAGCTCCTGCAGCAACTGTCAAGACCAGTCGGGGACAAAGATGGGCCAGAGATGACAAAAAATAAAAAACAAAAATAAAGCAGTCTGCTTGGGCCTCGAGTGGTTCCGTCATTCTGTCACGTGGGTGAAAAACAAATGAGGCCCAAAAGGCAAAAACTGCAAAATGATGGATTTAATGAAAGTAATACAAATCAAGACCTACCAAAAACACAGGGAACGGACAAAACTAAAACAGACTAGGAATGACAATGACGGAACAGGGAGTGAAGGAACACACAGGGCTAAATACAACACTAACGAGACACAGGTGAGACAGATGAGGGCAGGGCAGGTAATCAGACAACAGGAAGTACAACCAAAGAAGACACAGGAATAACACATTTCAAAATAAAACAGGAAATAAACTTAAACCATGACACCTGAAGCATGTGGTTTATTTAAAAAAATAAAATAAAATAAAATATGATGCCCACCATGTCGACTTTCAATTTGTAAATGTTCTAACAATTATATACGTTGAAAATTATTAGATTATAAATTAACTAATAATCTGATAATTATTAGATTATTAGTTCATTTAAGATTATTTGTCTTTGTTTCAGTTCCAATGGCAAATCCGTATCCTGGGCACAGACTGAACGCAACGCTTCTCGTGGCAACCACCTGTGGCAAAGGTTGTCATTTCACATTAAGAAAAAGGAGAACCACACAGCAGTGATCAAGCCGTTCTCCAAAACCTCAGAAGAACGCTACTGCGGGGGCAGCAACCTGCCTCCGCATGTGCCCCTGCCCTCCCTCCCATCAATGTCCTCTCTTCCCAGTCAGCAGGACACTGCCACAGACAAGACTCTGTACGAGCTTTCTGAAGCTGAAGAATGCTACTCACTCACGTATCAGCCACGGAGCCCGTCCCCCATCAGCACTGTGAGCCAGAGGCTGGGGGCCGCTTTAGAGGAGGAGCCCAGCCTTCCTCAATATGCCAGTAGCACCTGCAGCAGGGACAGCGGGGGCAGCAGGGTCAGCAGGGGCAGTGTGGCCAGCAGCTGTGGCTCGCCAAGCAGGGGTTCTGTTGTCGCCGGGAGCGACGGTCGCCTGATCACAGTGGGAGATCTTCCAGGACCGGTGCAGAGTTCACTCATGGATCAGATCAGCTGCGTAGTGAACCGTTTCACAGCCAACATAACGGAGCTCAACAGCATGATGCTGATGCCCTCCCCGTCTCATTCTCACAAACACTCTGCTCCTCAACCTGTCCCCACAGACCCGTATCTGTTACCACGGGAACTACACATGCCGCCAACACTTACCACCTACGCTGATGTGCAACCTCAGCCACCAGTGGAAGCCCGTGTGCCCTGTCCAATTCATCCTATGGGACCTCCACCTTGTGTCCGGCCCCAGCCGTCCCCCTCACTGTCCCCTCTCCGAGGAGCTCAGGTCAGGTGCATGACTGACTCTCCTCTGAGGAGGGAGGAGCTGGAGGAGGAACTTATTGCATTGACTCCTCCGTCGCCTTTTCGCGACTCTTTATCAAGCAGCAGCTCACAGTTTTCAGAGACAGGACTTTGTCTGCCCCCAGTCCCCTCTTTCCCTCCACCGTCCCCTCCATCACCCCGATTCAGCAGACTGGCCCTGAGAAACTACAGCCAGAGCTCCTCGTCTCTGTGATGGGCCCCTGTGATGGCCCCTGCGATGGGCCTCTGTGATAGCCCCCTGTGTGAGGCCTCTCTGTGCCAGCCGTGTGTTAGCGGCCAAAGGAGGACGGTCACCACTGTGTTTGTGGTGACTCAGTGGACTGGAGTGTTCTGTTTTGTGTTTACATGTGTGCAGAAACTAGCACTATACCTGTGCTCATTCCAGATTTTTGTGCAGTTTGACAGAAGAAAGTAAAGAGAACTTGACGTGCATTTTCAGTATTTTGGTGTCTGAGACCCAAAATCTATATCTAAGGTCTACAGCTATTTTTGTGGTTTGGTTAGTGGCCTTAAAGTATCAGGCTATCAACTAATTAGAGATAGTGAATGTGCATGTGTGGGTGTGTGAGGTGCTGTGTCAGATCAGGTCTATGTGCAGTAGTAGACTCTTTTGAAGGCACATACAATGTTAGAACTACAGTATACGTTTGAGCACACTAATGTTACAATTTGACAATAAAGCTGTAAATACACAAAGAGGGGGAGGTCAAACACGAAAGGCTTTTTCAGGTGCAATAATCTAACCAGTCCATCAGTATGTTACAAAGACTAAACCTTTTCATTGCATTTTGTTTTTCTGTGGGCTTCCCTGGTCCCTGTTTCTCTTGGAGGATTATATTGTTTGTGTCTTAACTTTAATATGTTTTTCGTTTCATATTATTTAAGCAGTTGAATGTATATTTTCTGCAGTTTGTCAGACGTAGGGACCAAACATGTTGTATGTGTGTTGAAGTCTTGTCTTGTCTTCACATTGCTAATATTTACTTATATAGAAACCCTTTCAGATTAGACAAACAGATTTAGCAGCTACATAACATTGAAAGGAGATTATAGTCTTTTACATTTCGTCATTCATCATTTTAGCAGAGATGCCTCATGTGTGGTAGCCTGGTCTTACCACACCATTGTACAAATTTCATTTCGGGAAATGATAATTGACCGGAGTTTACGGATGCCTAAGGCCAGGCTACATTGGTGGTAGTTGAAGGGAAAATGTAGTATTTCTGTTCTACGGAGGCCTCCATCAACCAACTCCAATTCTGTAAATAATAAGGGCATGCAAAGGTATTTTTTATTTCAGATGAAAAGGTTTATTTACAATTCAACACAAAAAAGAAAAAGCTACTTTTTGACTCCACTCAATAACATTTTGTGTTATGACGACTGAGACTGTGTTACTACTCTAACCACGTGAGAAACCATTCCTTAGCAAACGTAATATGTGTCAATATACTAAATCTTAATATCAGTATGAATATTGTGCCAAAGGGGCTGGGGAGGGATTAGCCTAGTTTGTGGGTGTAAGTGATTTCATAAAAAATGTCAGCGTGAATTTATATTGTTTTTTGATATTTTATATGATAAGATCATATTTCCAGTGATAAAGCAATATGATCCATTTGTAAATGGTGCACATTTGAGACATGTCCTAAACTGTGTCTTAAATGGTATTTCTTTTCATTCTGATCGGTGGAGAGTAGCAGGAACAGTGAGTTTGTCTTTTGTCTTTAGGGATGAGCTATAGCAGGAGCTAACCTTCTCCTTTACATTGTATCAGTGTGGCGCTCTGGCTTGTGGTCCTAATATAGAGTGAAAATGTGCCAAACTTTTTTTAAACAATGTGATTATTGCACTACTCTTGCTCCGGCTAAATGTGACACAGACATCGTCTGCTCCTGCTAATTGGCATCAGTACAGTTTCCAAGATATTGGTCAAGTTTAATACGATTCCATGAGTAACTTGAACCAACCTGTTTGCAGAGCGCTTGTCAGAACGTCACCATGTGGTTTATGTTGGGAGCGGAGCTAAGCATCAGCACTTTGGTGCCTGCTCTTGGCCCCTGGGCCAGGCTCCACTGAGGCTGCTGCCTCTGCACAAACCAGAGCTTAATACTCTGTTGTCTAATTCTCTTTAAGGGCTCGCCTCTTACCACATTATGTGATGTTCTGTAGAAACCCAAAGTATATCTCCACATGGCAGTCTCCTTATGGCGGGTGATATTGTACAATGATGTCTCATTAGTTTTACAGATTCAATGGAAAATACATCTTCACAGCAATCCATCGTTTTAGTGGTGAATGAACAAAATAAAGTGTACATTTCCGTGACTGGGTTTGACCTCTGCCTCTGAGGTCAGACCTGAGACTGCCCTGCTCTGCTGGTCTTATGGAAATGAAAGAGCACAGTTACACTTGCAATGGAAGCTGGCCTTTTGCTGACGGACTGAGAAATCTGCACAAACCATCCATCCATCCATCCATCCATCCATTTTCTTCCGCTTTATCCGTTGCCGGGTCGCGGGGGTAGCAGTCTAAGCAGAGACGCCCAGACTTCCCTATCCACACACACTTCCTCCAGCTCGTCCGGGGGGACCCCAAGGCGTTCCCAGGCCAGCTGAGAGACATGGTCCCTCCAGCGTGTCCTGGGTCTTCCGCTGGGCCTCCTCCCGGTGGGACGTGCCCGGAACACCTCCCCAGGGAGGCGTCCAGGAGGCATCCGGAACAGATGCCCGAGCCACCTCAACTGGTTCCTCTCGACGTGGAGAAGCAGCGGCTCTACTCCGAGCTCCTCCCGTGTGACTGAGCTCGTCACCCTAAGGGAGCGCCCAGCCACTCTGCGGAGGAAGCTCATTTCGACCGCTTGTATCCGCGATCTCGTTCTTTCGGTCATTACCCAAAGCTCATGACCATAGGTGAGGGAGGGAACGAAGATTGACCGGTAAATCGAGAGCTTTGCCTTTCGGCTCAGCTCCCTCTTCACCACAACGGTCCGATACAGAGACCGCATCACTGCGCACGCTGCACCGATCCGCCTGTCAATCTCACGCTCCATTCTTCCCTCACTCGTGAACAAGACCCCGAGATACTTGAACTCCTCCACTTGAGGAAGGACCTCTCCACCCACCTGCAGAGGGCAAGGCACCTTTTTCCGGTCGAGCACCATGGCCTCGGATTTGGAGGTGCTGATTCTCATCCCAGCCGCTTCACACTCGGCTGCAAACCGCTCCAGTGAATGCTGCAGGTCCTGGTTCGTTGGAGCCAACAGGACAACATCGTCCGCAAACAGCAGAGATGAAATCCTGTGGTCTCCGAACCGGACCCCCTCCGACCCCTGGCTGCGCCTAGATATTCTGTCCATAAATACAGTGAACAGAACCGGTGACAAAGGGCAGCCCTGTCGGAGGCCAACATTCACCGGGAACAGGTCTGACTTACTGCCGGCAATGCGAACACAGCTCTGGCTCCGGTCATAGAGGGATCGGATGGCCCTCAGCAGAGGACCCCCGACCCCGTACTCCCGGAGAATCCCCCAAAGGACACCCCGGGGAACACAGTCGAACGCCTTCTCCAAATCCACAAAGCACATGTGGACAGGTTGGGCGAACTCCCATGAACCCTCGAGTATCCGATGGAGAGTATAGAGCTGGTCCAGTGTTCCGCGACCGGGACGAAAACCACACTGCCCCTCCTGGATCCGAGATTCGACCATCGGCCGTAGCCTCCTCTCCAGTACCTTGGAGTAGACCTTACCGGGGAGGCTGAGGAGTGTGATCCCACGATAATTGGAACACACCCTCCGGTCCCCCTTCTTGTAGAGAGGGACCACCACCCCGGTCTGCCACTCCATTGGCACTGCCCCCGATCGCCACGCGATGTTGCAGAGACGTGTCAGCCAAGACAGTCCTACAACATCCAGAGACTTTAGATAATCAGGGCGGATCTCATCCACACCCCGAGCCTTGCCACCATGGAGGCTACCAACCACCTTGGTGACCTCAGCCAGGGAGATGGATGTATCCGCCCCAACATCCTCAGCCTCTGCCTCTGTAACAGAGGACGTGACGGGGGGATTGAGGAGAACCTCAAAGTATTCCTTCCACCGCCCGACAATATCCCCAGTCGAGGTCAGCAGCTCTCCACCCGCACCGTACATGGTGTTGGCAAAGAACTGCTTCCCCCTCCTGAGGTGCCGGATGGTTTGCCAGAATCTCTTCGAGGCCGACCGATAGTCATGCTCCATGGACTCTCCGAACTCCTCCCAGTCCCGGGTTTTTGCCTCTGCAACAGCCCGGGCCGCGGCACGCTTGGCCTGCCGGTACTGGACAGCTGTCTCAGGAGTCCCCCGAACCATCATGGCTCGATAGGACTCCTTCTTCAGCCTGACAGCTTCCCTTACTGCCGGTGTCCACCACCGGGTTCGGGGGTTGCCGCCGGGACCAGCACCAGAGACCTTGCGACCACAGCTTCGTGCCGCCGCATCGGCGATTGAGGCAGAGAACATGGTCCACTCGGACTCCATGTCCCCCTCCTCCGTCGGGACTTGGGAGAAACTCTCCCGGAGGTGTGAGTTGAAAGTCCGTCTGACAGGGGGCTCAGCGAGACGTTCCCAGCAGACCCTCACTATACGCTTGGGTCTGCCAGGTCTGACCGGCTTCTTCCCCTGCCAGCGGATCCAACTCACGACCAGGTGATGATCGGTTGACAGCTCCGCCCCTCTCTTTGCCCGAGTGTCCGAGACACGCGGTCGAAGGTCAGATGATACGACAACGAAGTCGATCATCGACCTCCGGCCTAGGGTGTCCTGGTGCCACATGCACTGGTGGACACCCTTGTGCTCGAACATGGTGTTCGTGATGGACAAACTGTGACTGGCACAGAAGTCCAACAACTGAACACCGCTCGGGTTCAGATCAGGGGGGCCGTTCTTCCCAATCACCCCTCTCCAAGTGTCACTGGCGTTTCCCACATGGGTGTTGAAGTCCCCCAGGAGAATAACGGAGTCCCCGGGCGGTGCACCGTCCAGTACCCCTCCCAAGGACTCCAAGAAGGCCGGGTACTCTGCACTGCTGTTAGGCTCGTAGGCCGTCACAACAATGAGAGACTTGTCCCCCACCCGGAGGCGGAGGGACGCGACCCTCTCATTCACCGGGGAGAACTCCAACACGTGGCGGCTGAGATGGGGGGCAATGAGAA